TTAAAGCACGTTTTCTATCGCAAACTCTTTTTACAGGGTTGACAAACATCCCCGGGGCAAATTTTTACATTTTGCAGCAGCTGCTAAGATCCCACTCTCTGATCATTCCAAGGCAGTCAAATTCCAGCCCAGTGGATTTTACCATACATACCTGCAATAGGCACGTGAATTAGAATTAAACCTAATGTAGAGGTTAGTAATATAATACATTCTCGCATTTTTTGAATTTTTGTTTTTTGGCTGTGGCTCGGGAGAATGGGCACCCACTACCCCTGTCACGACTTAAAGTAAATTATTACTTACTTACTTATTACGTGAATATTAAAACTGAAAATTTGACACGGTTTCTGTCAGCTTGTTAAGTAGTCAGTGGCGTGAATGTCCATGAGCACGTACGCTACAACACCTGAAGTGCAAAACCTATCAAAATTGAAAACTATTGTATTGTCATCTTAAATGTAGTTACCTGGTGTTGATAAAATTTTTGTCGCATTTGCATTAAGTAGATGGGGAAAGAATCATAACACTTTTTAATAGAAACTATAATTTTCTTTGCGTTTTTTTAGTCAACAAATAGCATTAAAAACATAAGCAATATGTATGAATTTTCGTACAATTTACACTGTAATAGCTGATTTCTGGTCCATGGAAATTCTTGGTTTTTCTCGTTAAACTTGCGCATGCACTCACAACTCATTTAAAATGTCATTTTCCTAAAAATTTGGGACTGTACATAGGGCATACGTCGAATAATATGCAATAATTATAAATATAATTATTCACATAACTACTAAATTTTCTTCGTGTTCTTGAGATCACTAACCATGAATTAAATCAAGTTTTAACTTTATGTTGAATTTTATAAATCTATATATTGCAAACGAAGAGTTTACTCTCGGAGAGGAAATAACAAGGCAAAGTTTGGATAAATTTGAATAAACTGCTACTACAAACAACACGATATTTGAACGACGATCTTCAATCAAACAATCTCCAAACCAGATGTTAAACTTTGTTTTGCACCATAATAGGACAATAGCTACCGGAAATCGACTATTGCTGTAGTTCTCCTTTCTTCCGTTTGCAGAAATTAAATGTTTTACTTTTAAGATTATTTATCGTTTCTAAGACAAACTCCTTATGTTTTCAGTTAAATATAACTTTTTCTTTGTAGTTAATTTAAGTGGAATGATCAGAAAACACTTATTTTGCCACCACTGAAACATCTTTCAGAGAAAACTAGAAGCATTTATATAAGTTGTCCCCATTTCTACTGTTTCCTAATTAGAAATAATTGTTTGTAACATATGTGAAATGAACATGTAATTTTCTGTCGACTTATTTCACTAAGAAATAAAATAACTAAAATCTTACATGTAAAAACGTGTAATAATTACAATTTTAATTTTTATGGGCTAAGCAACAAAATGATGGTCATTCGAGACAACATGTAACATGAATTTGTCTTTGTACTCGCCGTCTGTAACGATTATATTTTGCCTTTCGCCTTTGAATGAACCTGGTTGTTTAACATATCTCTTAAAAAGATTGTAACCACCATGACTTAATGAAACAGAAAGCTATATTATAACAAGCGGTTTTAAAAGCTTCAGCGTGAAACAAAGAATCTGAAACCTGATGTTGAAACAATTTTAACGTAACTTCTGTTTCTATTTTGTACAAAATTACTTATTACCCTTGGACGATTGATAAAAAATGAGGTAAGATTCGTAAGTCATGTTACCAAGCTGAGATCACACAGGTCTCTTAAAAATCCTTGATGTTTGCTGAACTTTATAGTCAAATCAAAAAATAAAATATATAGAGCGACAGAACGTTGTTCCGACTAAGTGTGGAAAGTAATTTTGATTTTACAGTCCTACACTAAGCTAGTGACTGGTTCAAAAAAAAAATCTCCCCATTTTGTCATCTCATCAGAACTAACACCAAAACTAATCGTGACTCGCTCACTGCGTATTTGCTTCTAATTTTTATTGGTTCACTGGATTGTCTGTGTCCTTTGTGATTGGCCTCTCCATTGAAAACCACTCCTTATGGGGCGTTGCGTTCACTTGTTGAAAGCCATTAATTTTTTATCACTATTATCAATATTCATTTACATTTCCGAAGCAAAACAGCTGCAAATAAATCTTGGATTCTAAATTTCCTCCCACATTTTTTAACGTGGGAAAAAGTTGAATCTTAACTTGCTGGTTGCAAGTCGATAATAACAATGGAGGTCACCGGGCTCGTTTTTGAGTTATAAACCTTAAAGCTAAAATCAGGGGTGTTTTCACCTGCTCATGGCAACTTGTGACATCAAGACAATGCAGCTACCTGTAGCTTGTTCATTAATGATTGCGCATTTCTATGATGTCATTAACTGAAAAAGAGTGTCAGTGAGAACTTTTTAAACTGTACAACGATATTTTCTGGCTGAAAAAGGCCCTTTTGGTCTCAGTATTAAACTCATCAGTTTCATAATAAATAAGACAAGTGTCATTTTGCAAGTCCATAATACACAAAAACAGTTGGGAGACTGGGGAATAATCGTTGCAATTGTCACACAGACAGCGAAAAGCAGACGCACAGACAAACGCTATGCCTCTTTATGTGTTGTGTATGTATGGTGGGTCCACTTTATAGACTAGAGTTATTTCGGGTGGAGATGATGAAGAATGAAATGAAAAAACTAAAATAGATTTAAGAATCACATGATATTTAGCATACGGAGTTAAGCATTCAGCCTCAAAGTACACAGATGTTAAAATTACAAACAAAATGTTTCGGAAGCAAAAATATAAACGTCTTTGAAGGGAGGGTTGGAAAAGTTGCCTCTGAAAATTTCTCGTTCAGTTCAGTTTCTCTTTCTCATTAGCATTCCTTTCGTATGTTCCGACTCTATGTATTAAGCACATTTTCGTTTTTCGTGTCAACCACATATTTTTCAGTAATCACAGACTATAATTTTGCGAAAGAAGAATGATAACCTTTTTGTAGCCATACGGTTACACGTTGTTACAAGTTGGCAGAATTACTGATGCCCAAAATTCACGGAAAATGTCGACGGATTGGCGCAGAAAATGTCGAATTCAGTATTGAACATCAAATTTGTTGTTTGGCCAGAACGTTTTATTCTGGACCGGACTCACGAGTTATCTACTCGTATCTGATTGGCTTATAAACAATAGAATTGGATGTCTTACATTATAGCTTGCACATGCGCCAAACCATGAAACTATCCTTTAAAATAAAGGGCAGAAGCATTTGATGTTCGCGACAATTTTTCATTATTGTAAGGACGTCGACACCTGTCTGAGAACTGAATAATCCATGGATTACTGAGAGAGGAGACAAACAATCCAAATAACTGATGCAATTAAATACTCGGTAGGGATTCATTTATATCAAATAAATACGAAGATTAAACCGGTTTTGAATATAGAACTACTCGTGGATTATTCCTACGATAAAACTAAAACAAAACCAGATAACTTTGCGAACCATATTGCAATTATAATATTGAACTATAGTTGCGCTATTTGTTCTATCAAACAAATACGAAGATTAAACCAGTTTTGAATGTGGAACTACTCGTGAATTGAACAGTTTGGATTATTCCTACGCTAAACTAAAACAAAATCAGATAACTTTGCGAAATATATTGCAATTATAATATTGAACGATAGCTGTACTATTTGTTCTATCAAACAAATACGAAGATTAAACCAGTTTTGAATGTAGAACTACTGGTGGATTAAACAGTTTGGAATATTCCTAAGCTAAACGAAAACAAAACCAGATAACTTTGCGAACTATATTGCAATTATAATATTGAACGATAGTTGCACTATTTGTTCTATCAAAAAATAGTTTCTTATTTTTTGGTCTGGTCACGATCTACCTTGATCCAACGTAGCGCAAGTGCTGATCATGATCGTACACGGTTTTTGTAGTACTACCAGTTTTGAATGAAGAACTACTCGTGGGTTAAACAGTTTGGATTAATTTCCAAGCTAAACGAAAACAAAACCCGATAACTTTGCCAACCATATTGCAATTATAATAACGAACTATAGTTGCGCTGTTTGTTCTACCCCTTTAACCATAAGATATCTGCTAATTATTTTTATAATAAATATTGGACAATGTGCGCTATGATTGGGCTGGGGGCGTTGTGACGGAGTTACAACACAAACACTCGTGCTTTGTTGTTTCGCCGTACCGTTTTATTATATCGCCATGTATACAGCGTCTAAAACATTTGAGAAAGTTTTTGTCCTTCACTTCCATTCCTCGCAATTCTTACATTCCTTTCGCTTTTTGACGCGTTTTCGCCTTTTGACGTCCACGTGATGCTCGTCGCCATAGAGTCACAGAGTTTGTAAATAAGGGAGCAAATTAAGTTCAAGGGAAGAAAATTTCAAATTGATGACGGATCAAACGCAAGCTATGCATTTCCGATGACCAAAGGAAAACTGAAATTCAATAAAAGTTCAAACTAACACCGCGCAGCAAGTTTGCCTCTGATAAATAAATGTTTTATCTTCAAAACAAGAGGTTATTGAAAGTACTCAGGGGTTAAAGAAAACATATCGATATTAATAAAATCAGATTCATAAGAAAGATACCACTTGTACCACTTAAAGTTTCCTCGTTTAAGTTGATTAAATCATCTTATTTCGCTACTGGGATAGGCTATGGCAATAATATAAAATTCTGAAAATATACGTCACATCACTCTTGAACTGAAAGGAAGAACAGAAAAATACATCGTGGATTACTGTATGCAGTGTTTCTAGCCTTAAAGTACGTCCCTTCTCACTGAATCGTTACTCTTAAAGAAAAATATTTCTCAAGAAAAAGGTTTTGTAATAATACGAAGCCAAATATTAGTCAAAATTACTAAAGAAATAGAACTGCGACATAAAATTAAGGTCATTATTAGTCATGAAACATAAAATGAAAGTCATTATTAGTCAGGGAAAAAACACATAAATAGTATATGGCCAAGGAGAATAATTTGTGTGGAATGTATTCAGGGCGGAAGGAAAATCCCTAAGAATAGCACGTTTAATTTTGAACAACAAATAAAAATTAAGTAAAACACATTATCTGACAAGGTCACCTGATAACAAACTATCAAACACATGCAGGCAGGTGTACGATCAATAAATAAAACCAGCTACTGGTTACTTGCGCGCTGAAGTCGTTATCCGACCTGGAGACTTACGGACCTGATTTGACGGCGATTCATACATCGCTTGAAAGATGAACGCCACAATCCGCACTTTGAAGTCAAGCGCATCCTCCAACGACTCCTTTGTTCGTCCTACTCGACCATACCACGACAAGGTTGACTATAACGTTGGCGATGTTTACAAATTTGTCTTCGGTGGCATAGCAATTGTTTCTATCCTTGGCAACTTTCTCCTTTGCGTGGCAATCTGCAGACGTCGGTCAATGCTCTCGAAGACGTATAACATGCTTGTTTTAAGTCTCGCCGTTACGGACATGCTAACAGGTTAGTAAAGAGAACTTACTTAAAGAGTGTGTATTTATCGCTGGAAATTTCACGCAATATAAATTTTACAAGTAACATGAAAATTAAAATAAGATGGTGGTTAAAAAAATATATTCAGTATATCAACCAACAAAAAAGTGTCTTGATTTCGGAAAGAAAGTGGACTTGGGAAGTTTTGGTGTATTCCATGCACACAGGTACTGTTAAATTTAACATACATTTTCAAAGGACATCTAAATTCCAGTTAAATGTATATAGTAATGGCAAGATTTTTGAATTAAGGCGTGAGAAAGAAAATTCAAACATCCATATGCCCTTAGAAAAGTAAAACCCAATTGGCGCCTTCACGCCGCTCAATAAGAGTTAACACTTTCTTTTCACCAAAACACAAATGCTCATTACTGCTTCATCGATTGTCCGTTTTAATACTGAACTGAACGAATCAATTTACTATCTCTAAGTAAGAGATGAAATATCAGCATTCCAAGAGTGTACTCAGTAAAACCTAAGCGTGTTTAATCGACGAAACAAATAAATCGTGCTATATCATCATTGTGCTGACTTTAGCAATGAAAATCATAAATGTCATGATTGTATCTGACACGTACAGCAGGTTCTCCTTCCCTAAGCGACATTCTGCTCTGTCTTGCAACGAAATCTGCAGACATCGAAATTCTTTTCTCATATATACGTTACGCTATTTTTTTTAAATACTGACGGACTGTCCTTTATAGCAAATGTTATGCATCTTTGTTGTAAAGTTATTTCTTATATAACCAGACATCACTCAGCATGTACCAAAACTCTAAATGTCGCTTGTCAAGGACATGTTTGTTTCCGTGCAATACAGCAGCTTTCGTTTAAACATTTCCATATA